CTTCAATCGAAGCTTGGAAATTTGAAGCAAGTTTGAAGGAGGTCAAGTGCTCAATCTAAACCCCTGAATCAAGCCTGCTCGAAGGAAGCTAGATGCCTAATCGAAGAAAATTTTGTGCAGCCTTGACTTAGTAGAAATTTTGTGAGAAAAATATTTGAGAAATGAGAGGGAAAATTTTGGGGTACAACATCTACAACTTTGTCTCTCTAAGCTCAAGTCTAAAAAATGCTTCATTTGAGAGACATGGGCTAAAACATTATAGGTCATTCCAAAAGATAACAAAAAGATACTTTTTGTCAAGGCAACTTACATCAAGATACAATCTTCAAATGCAAAAATGGTCAACATAGTGATTGTAGAAGACATCTTGACCTTTCTAAAAAGTCTAAGATCACCTTTAAATGACAAAAATTGAGAGATTTATGACTAGTGCAAGTTGGGAAATTTTGAGCAAATGCATGGAGTTCAAATTGCGCAAACTTGAAATTTTGGTCCATTGGGCTATTGTTTCAGAGTCCAAATGTGTGCTACACTCCATATGCACCCTAATACTTGTTCATACACCTCTCTTTGGCTTTATTATATTTTTATTCATTTAAAGGTAAAAATAAAATAAAATAGGACAAAGCTCATTACACAAGTCCAAGCCCATCATATTGTGACCTAATTCATGCTATATATTCTCCTCAAATCAGACATGAAAGGCACGAAAAAACCTTGTCCAAGAAACCTCCAAAAAATCAAAAAAATTTCAAAACTAGGGCAAGAGAAAAACCTTATCTCCAAGCTCTTACAGTCAAAGCCATGCCTCTCATTATCTCCCTGAAGATCCCAGGAGGTCATCCCTACCCTCTTTGAAGTCAAAAGCATGTAGGAAGACCACGTTTCATCCTCGCCGGTTTGGTATTATTTTTCAAATCCGAACTTTCAATTTATGCATTGTTAATTAGCCTAGTGTGTTTACATGTGTTTATATCCATCATTAGAACATGCTTGACACATAACATGTGAGCTCTAACGCCGGAATGACAAAGTACCATTGTTAGGGCACCGAGCTCGTGAACATTTGAAACCCTAGTTACAGGCTGTTTCAATCAAAACAAACGTTACCATTAGATTCGTGAGGCCTCAATTAGTGGACATGGATACCTTTCGCTCTCACTTTGCCTTATTTTGCAGGATCACGAATTTCCCTTGTCGGAGAAGATAAAGTTAACCACCAGAAGTGGTGGTTTGACTCCAGCATATTTAATATATATTGTTTTAATATTGTATAGTTAACGCGAAATAGCTAATGGTCCAGCGACAAGACAGCGTGCGATATGGTGTTCATATGCAAGGGCATGAGTTCGATCCCTGCCCCTTGCATTCTTTTCCATACTATTTGTTTTATGACTCTTCCAGATCTTGTGCGCCCCATCCCTTGCCTACCATGTACTCTCACTTCTCATCAGTTATAAGATCTCCTCATATCTGATTCAATGACCATAAATGCGTGGTTCATGCTACACCCCTGAAGTTGCAGCGCACCAGATCAGTGGGCCTCTCCTCTTTGGGCCTAGCTAAATGTTTTCCAACACCCCCCTGGTTTCTATTTTAGGCCCAATTTCTATCCTTTTTTTATTTACTTTTTTTAAATATAATTAGTTTAATTAATTAAAATTGATTTATACTTTTAGGGTTTTTAATCATTTTCTAATTAATTTAACTAATCAGTTTTTTTTAATAATTAAATTAATTTCTTTTTTTAATCAAAATTAATTAAGGTTTTATTTAGTTTTATTTTAATTAATAATTTATTTCTTAATCAACATTAATTAGATTTTTAATTAATTAATCATAAATATCATTTTTTCATAAAAAAAACAACAAAAAACATTTATGTTTCCTCCGATTTAAATTTTTAGGTTAACTGTGCTATTGCAGACGTTTTTCTATTTCTTTTATTTCTTTTCATCATTATTTGTAACTGTCTATGGTTTGTAATAGTAATTAGGGTTTACTACTCCACATCTCTATTATGTATCTCTCTTGAAGTCGTGTAATAGTCTTAGGTTTACTTTCCGTCTCTTATTTTCCGTATCTACTTTTCGCACTATTTTATTACCGCCGTTAGTAATTAGGATTGTATGGCAAGATAAAAGCAAACGATAACTAACTCTAATGCAAGATAAACAATAACTTAACATAAAACACTTGCATATATGCACCTCTAGGATAACCTCTCTTGTTGCCTTTAGATTAAACAGTCATGTCCCTCAAACGTGGGGACGTTTTAGCAAAGTCCCTTTGATACAAAATATCATAGTCCCTCGATGACCATTTCGACGTTATCTTCGGTAAATGATCTAGTCCCTTAAACAATAATTACTAAAGTGTCTTTACGAGGCCTTCAATGACTGTACGGTGACCCACACCCGTCTCTTCACATCCAACAATATGGCTTCCTACTAACTAATGGTATGGTAGCACTATTTAAAGGAGGAGGAAAAGTACAATAAAGACCTTGAGTAGGTAGACCGCTGTTAATCGCTTGCTCACAAATCTCTTCAAAACAAAAACATTTTTTTACAATCACACTTTCAAAAATATTTTCAAAACAAATACTTTGTACGCATTCTCATTAGAACACAAACGAGAATCATTACAAAGTCTTGCCTTACAATTGACATTTTCAAAATATTTTTCAAACACACAATACAAAACATTTAAAAAATAAATAAAGTGAGCTAGCGATTAAGAGCACATAGATAACTATAGATGAAAAAGGGTGCTAACACCTTCCCTTTTCATAACCTACCCCCCGAACTCAAAATCTTCAAAGGTCTTTCCTGTTCTTTTCACCCTTTCCTTATTGGATAAAAGAAAAGTCGGTGACGACTCTTGCTATCCGCAAAATTTGCGATAAAACACAAAACCAAGAAATTTTTCCCACCATATTACATTGACACACGCCTTTCATCCTCCCTTGCAACCTGAGTCTTCACTACTTCATGTACACTAATAACATATGCCTAAGAGGAAAATGCATGATAAAGTCATTGAAATCAACAAAATCTCAAGATTGATAATCATAAAAATGTTGATTCATTTACCGTATAACCGGTTAACCTAGAAATCTCCTTGTAAGAAATCGACAATGGGTTTGAAATTAAATTTGTGCTTTGGTATTTCTGGCATGTCTATCATGGTTATAATAGTTCCACCATTAAGAAACAACTTTATAGGTTTGTCAAAGATCTTCAAAGGTAGTTAATTGAGTAAAGGGTCACCATTATAAACCATATATATTTGATGTTCTTATAAGCTTTGTTTTCACATATCAAAATCTCGATTCCGAGTAACAACATGGATTTTGTCTCCCTATAAATGAAATAAATAGTTAGGATGAATTTTAAGTGCATTGAAATCTATAGAACATTGTGATAACAAGAATGAATACCTTTCTATCTTGGATACCCCCTTCAAAGTGTTGTTGTCCATTCCTTTCCTTAACACTCCACAGATCAACCACGCGAATGGCGATCTTCCAAACATTGTTACCTTCCTTCAAATCAACAATCATAATAAATGGTCTTGACATGGTGTGATGGTGATCTAAAAAGTCACAAAAGGCAAATAAGCTACATCTATCTTAAAAAAGAACCAACTTTTAGACATGACAATATAGAGTAAGAAAGAGTAAGAAAAGAAAAGAAAAGAAAAACATTTCATTAACACAATATCACACATATTTGAAGAGATGTCACATCATCTTTATCATTAAAATAAAACATGTCGGCAATGATAACATGCATATAATGTTCAAACATTAACATGTCAATAAAATGACGGACAAGAAATCATAAAAGGTCAAAATATAAATTGATTTTCGAACGTTAGTAGCAAATATTGTTCAAACATCAAAGAAATCAAAGATGTGCAAAAAGTTTATAGCTTTCACACATAAAGCTCGAATCTGTCATATGGCTTCGAAACCAGAAACATAACATTTAAAAATGTATCAAGTAATAGAATTTTTTTACTTCGAAAAGAGTAACATAAAGCAACATTGTTTCAAAGTTTTCTTCTTTAACATGAAAAGATATATTTTTTGGTATTCATAAACAAGGAAATGATGAAAAGATATACTTTGTAATATTGAAAAGTGTTCACTAAAATCATCGCTCTATAGATAAAATTAGAAGAATAAACTAAGTTGATAAAAAATATTACCTTAAACAATATTGAAGGAAAATGTATGAATAGAAAGGATGAGAGTGCTCTCTGTATTGAGTTTTTAAAGTTGTTCTTCATGTTGGAAAATTAAGGAGAAAGAGCGCGAAGTTAGAAATAAGATGCAAAGAGAGGGAAGTTTGATAAAAGAGAAATGAGAAAAAATTAAATTAATAAAGAATACAATGTAACCTAATAAAACTTTGCGATAGACTTTATAATTATGTGTTATGTTATTAAATTTTTTTTATCCTATTATTAGACATAACAAAATTAATATAGAAAGATAATTAAAGATGATGATTGATATTAATGTCTTAATAATGGTTAGATTTATTTACCTTTAATAAATGTTACTAGTATAATTTAGATATAAAAATATAAATTTGTAAAGCTAATATAAAACTAAGACCAGCTCCAAGTTGGGTTCTTATGTTAAGTTTTCCAACTGGCAGCATTAAAGTTAAATAAAGTAGCTGCAAGAGTTCTCCAAGTGGAGAACGTATTACGTTGAAGCAACGGTCCTTATATTAAAAAAATAATATAAATTAACTAGCCGTTGCATAACGGTTCATTTTTTTTTGTTTTTATTTTATTTTAATAATTTATTTCTTTATAAATATGATAAAGTGATAAGTTGTATACTCAAATTTGCTCTCATAATTTTATTTCTTTCTCTCAATTTGTTCTCATAATTTTATTTATTTCTCACAATTTACTCTCATAATTTTATTTCTTTCTCACAATATCATCTTCCTACTTTAAATTAAAATTGTTTAGGCCAAATGGATCCTAATCATTTTCATTATCAACAAGCTATGTTCAATTACATGTCAAATTATCAAAATCCTAATCCTCAAAATTCTCAATTTCCATCTGTGCCAACAAACCCCGCCATATTTTTTCTGGAAACACCGATTGAGTTTATGTCCGAATGTCAAGTTCCACCAGTTTCTACTCAAGTTGGTACTAAAAAAGAAGAAAGGGTTGTCGTTAAAAAAAAATCTCGAGAGCAATTTACAAGGGATGAAGATATACTGCTTATTCAATCATGGCTCAATGTTTCAAAGGATCCAATTATGGGAGTTGATCAAAAAGCTGAGAGTTTTTGGTTAAGAATCGCTGCCAATTATAACCAGTATCGTGGGCAATCGCGGGAAAAGTTAGGCGGGCAATTAAAATGTCGATGGCATCGAATAAATGGCTTGGTTCAAAAATTTGTTGGGTGTTACAAACAAGCTGTTAATGGAAAAAAAGTGGGACATCGGAGAACGATATCATGGTTGCTGCACATGCTTTTTTTGCTCAGGATGAAGGTACAACATTCAATCTTGAGTATATATGGCGATTGTTAAAAGATGAACCTAAATGGATGGGAGAATCGATTGGAAATTCTTCAAAAATTACAAAGAGCTCTGCTAGTGGGGCATCATCGGATAACCCAAATACACCTTCAAGTTATGAGTTTAACTCATCATCACCAATGGAGCGTCCAATGGGACAAAAAGCAGCAAAAAGGAAGGGTAAGGCAAAGGAAATTCCAAATGCAATGCAAGATGCAAGGATTAAAAGAGCAGCAACAATGGAAAGACTAGCTCAATGTAAGGAGGACGAGCTAGAACTAAAGGCAATGAATATCATCATAAAAGACACTTCTACTATGAATGATAATCAACGAGATATTCATGAAAAATATTGTAATAAGATGAAAAAAAAATATGGAATGTAGTTAGTATCATTGACGTAAAATGGTCATTAGTACCACTTTAATTTATCAACACCTATGTAAAATGGTCATTAGTACCACTTTAATTTATCAACACCTATGTAAAATGGTCATTAGTACCACTTTAAATTATAATAAATATTATGTTATTCAAACTAGCCGTTATTCAAACTAGCCGTTATTCAAACTATCCTTTATTCAAACTAGCCGTTATTCAAACTAGCCTTTATTCAAACTAGCCGTTATTCAAACTAGCCGTTATTCAAACTATCCTTTATTCAAACTAGCCGTTATTCAAACTAGCCTTTATTCAAACTAGCCGTTATTCAAACTAGCCGTTATTCAAACTATCCTTTATTCAAACTAGCCGTTATTCAAACTAGCCGTTATTCAAACTAGCCGTTATTCAAACTAGCCGTTATTCAAACCATTATATATACTATCACTTATGTCATTGTTTTCCATTCTCATCTTATTCTTCTATCATACTTCTCTAATCCTTCTCTCATTTTTCTATCATTCTTAATTCACTAAAATGGATTCAGACAATTCAGATGATTTTGACCAAGAATTTTGGGAGTTGATTGAAGAAGAATTTATCGACGATAGTGATGAAGAACAATTGCTTGAAAATGAACGTCAATCTGGAAGTTCATCTATGCCAAAGAGAAGAACAATGGTAGATCGTAGTCGTGAAGAAGGGCACAATCGATTATATAATGACTACTTCTCGGAAAACCCAGTATACACAGATGTTCAATTCCGAATAAGGTTCAGAATGCATAGACATGTATTTCTTCAAATTGTAGATGCCCTTGGAAATCATGATGAATATTTCCAAATGAGGGTTGATGCAACTGGTAAAATGGGTCTTTCACCATTGCAGAAATGTACATCTGCTATTCGTATGTTGGCGTATGGGTCTCCTGCTGACGTTGTAGACGAATATGTTCGAATAGGTGAAAGCACTTCAATTGAGTGCTTACAAAGATTTGTTCGGGGCGTGAATGCTGTATTTGGGGCTGAGTATTTGAGAAAGCCTAACAACAATGATGTTGAACATCTTTTACAAATGGGAGAGTCACGTGGCTTTCCAGGTATGTTGTGTTAGAACAATGTTTGAATCTACTACCCTATATTTAAGTTTTGATGATAACAAAGTGAAAAGATAGAGTATTTATATGTTTCATGTTTGAACTATATGCTGCCTAAAATTACTATGCTCTGACTTGCAGATACGCTGATTAAAATAAGCAAGATCACTTCTTCAGCATCAGAATTTGATTTCATACACCAGCATCAGAAGTTGCTGAATCAGAACGTCAAGATCAGATGATCAACTCACGTACATGCTGAAGCTTGATGAACAGAACTGCGCGTAAACACTCTGATACAGAAACACAATAGTTCATCAGCAGCGAAGCAGAATCAGAATGATCCAAGCCAGAACGTGCATTGAAGAAGCAACGGTACTGTGCATTGAACGCTAATTAATTCCAACGGCATCATTCTAGACAAGATCTGCTCAAAAAGGAAAGCTTGTTATTAGCATTGAATCAAGAATATTTGCATTCAACGTTCATCTTCTCAAGTGCTATATAAACAAGGCTTCGAAGATTATAATGGCTAATGCTCTCAAAATCTCTACACGCACAAAGCTGAACCTATAATCTTCATCTACCAGTTTTGCTAAACCAACAAACTCTGATACTCCATTACAGTTTAGCAATCTAGTTTCTAAGCTTAATTTGTGTATACATCACAGTTGTGATAAAGTTTTGTAGAAAACATTCACACACATTGTTTTATACCTTTGTAAAAAAGTGTTGCCTTGACAAACCGGATTGTGGTTTGAATCAAGAAGGCTTTAGCAGTTGTTAAAGCAGTCTGTAATATTCAGTTGAATATAGTGAATTAAGACCTCGTTGGAGAGAGGCGAAATCACCTTGACGGGTGGACTGGAGTAGTTTGAGATCAAACGAACCAGGATAAAAATATCTTGTCAATTGCTTTAAGATTTCAGTTTTACAATTCAACCCCCCCTTCTTGTGTTTTTCCCCCTTCAATTGGCATCAGAGCGCCTGGTTCTGAGCTAAAACACTTAACCGTGTCAGTACAAGATCCAGCGTCAGAAAAACACAATGGCAGGAAACAACTCTCATTTCAGCAATGACAACAATGAGGACAGAGACAGATTCAGCGGCAAACCTCCAGTCTTTGATGGAGAAAACTTTGATTACTGGAAAGACAGAATTGAAAGCTTCTTTCTAGCACATGATGCTGATCTGTGGGATATGGTGACAGATGGATACACGCACCCTGTGAATGCAACTGGTCAGAAGATTGATAGAAAATCAATGTCTGATCAACAAAAGCGTGATTTCAAGAATCACCATAAGGCCAGAACCATCCTCCTCAGTGTCATCTCCTATACTGAGTATGAAAAGATCTCCAACAGAGACACAGCTAAGAACATCTTTGATTCTCTCAGAATGACGCATGAGGGCAACGTTCAAGTCAAAGAAACAAAAGCTCTGGCGCTCATTCAGAAGTATGAGGCGTTCAAAATGGAAGAATCTGAATCCATTGAAACTATGTTCTCTAGATTCCAGATTCTGGTAGCTGGTCTCAAAGTTCTGGACAAAGGATACTCTACTGCTGACCATGTCAAGAAGATAATCAGAAGTTTACCCAAGCAGTGGAGGCCTATGGTTACTGCTCTGAAGCTAGCGAAGGATCTCAACAAAATCACTCTGGAGGAACTTATAAGCTCCCTCAGAAGTCATGAGATAGAGCTAGAAGCTGATGAGCCTCAGAAGCAAGGTAAGCCTTTAGCTTTAAAATCTAACAGAAAATCTGAGTCTAAAGTTTTGCAGGCAGTTGAAGAAACATCTGATGGATCCTCATCAGAAGAAGACGAACTTTCCCTTCTCTCCAGAAGAGTAAATCAACTGTGGAAGCAAAGACAAAGGAAGTTCAGGAATCCCAGAAGATCTGATCAGAACGAGTCCTCTTCCAGATACAGAAGGACAGATTCTTCCTCTGGATACAGAAGATCTGAAGGCTCCTCCAGTAGCAAGAAGCCAAACACAAAAGACATCATCTGCTACGAGTGCAATGAGCAAGGACACTACAAGAGTGACTGCCCAAAGCTTCAGAGGGAAAAGCCCAAAAAGAAGTTTGGAAGAGAGAAGAAGAAAAGTCTCATGGCCACATGGGATGACTCTGACTCGTCTGAAGCTGACTCAGAATCAGATGATGAAAGGGCAAACATAGCGCTCATGGCTAACATTCCAGATGATAGTGAAGCTTCTGAATCAGACTCAGAATCAGACACAGAAGAGGTATTCCCTAACTTCGCTGTTAATTTTACAAAGGCTGAACTTGCTGAAAGCCTCAATGAAATTCTGGAACGTTATCAGCAGATTAGAGCTAAATTCAGAGACCTGAAAAGGAATCTTGAATCTGACTCTAATAAGTCTGAGAGTCTCAAATTGGAAAACTCTGAGATGAGAGATAAAATTTCAAAATTAGAAAACTCTTTACAAAACTCTCAGAAGGAACCAAATTCTGAAACTCCCAGCAACGCTGATGAGATCATCAAGGAGTATGATCATAGTTTCCAGAAGTTCCTTGCTAAAAGCATAGATAGAAGCAGAATGGCTTCAATGATCTATGGAGTTAGCAGAAACGGCAGGAAAGGAATAGGATACCAAGGTAAGGTTCCTACACCTAAGAATGTCATGGATTTAACTATTAAACACACTCCTCTAAATTCACACTTTGTGTATGGTCACACACACGACATCAAATACACTAGCAGTAAGCACTCTGTGAAACCAAAATTCAACCAGAGTTTTGGTAAAACTAACAAGTCAGGACCCAAGAAAATCTGGGTACCTAAGGATAAAATAATACATGTTGCAGATATCTTTAGCAGCAAGTCAGAAACACCAGTCATGGTACCTGGACTCTGGCTGCTCACGACACATGACGGGAAGAAGGCATATGTTCCAAAGCCTGGAACTTAAGCCTGGAGGCCACGTTGGCTTTGGAGGCAATCAGAGGGGAAAGATAATTGGCTCTGGAACTGTAGGTAATGGAAATCTTCCCTCTATTAATAATGTTCTGCTAGTTGATGGATTGATGCATAATCTGTTATCCATAAGTCAATTAAGTGATAACGGTTATGATATAATCTTTAATCAAAAATCATGTAAAGTTGTTAGTCAGAAAGATGGGACTATCCTGTTTAATGGAAAGAGGAAAAACAACATTTACAAAATCAAACTTTCTGAACTAAAGAGTCAGAACGTAAAATGTCTTCTGTCTGTTAACAACGAGCAGTGGATCTGGCACAGAAGATTGGGGCATGTTAGTATGAGAAGAATATCTCAGATTAACAAACTCAATCTGGTCAGAGGACTTCCTAATTTGAAGTTCAATTCAGATGCTCTGTGTGAAGCATGTCAGAAAGGCAAATTTGCAAAACCTTCTTTTAAATCCAAAAATGTTGTTTCTACCTCTAAGCCATTAGAACTTCTGCACATTGACTTATTTGGACCAGTTAAAACTGCTTCAGTCAGTGGCAAGAAGTATGGGTTAGTAATCGTAAATGACTATAGCAGATGGACATGGGTAAAGTTCTTAAGACACAAGGACGAGTCACACTCTGTGTTTGTTACCTTCTGTAACCAAGTTCAGAATGAAAAAGATCTTAGAATCGTTAAAGTCAGAAGTGATCATGGTGGAGAATTTGAAAATAAAGATTTTGAGTCATTCTTTAATGACAAAGGCATTCTGCATGATTTCTCTTGTCCTAGAACTCCCCAACAAAATGGAGTCGTAGAACGAAAGAACAGAACATTGCAAGAAATGGCCAGAACCATGATCAATGAGACAAACGTTGCTAAGACTTTCTGGGCAGAGGCAATAAACACAGCGTGCTACATTCAGAATAGAATCTCAATAAGACCTATTCTGGAAAAGACTCCATATGAATT